CCCCAGCCTCTGCCTAGGGAAAGCAGCTGTCATCATTCTCCTCTCCCCCTGTGAGGTATGTTAAGGTTGAAAGTGTGTGAATGGTCCATAATCCCCCAGGCAACTTTTAAAACATGATCCTGGGACCTACACACCACCAGACATTCCAACTGCCTTGCAGGGGGGGGCGGGGAGTATGAGGTGTGGAATGGAGTGAAGTCCAATCAGCTAACATATGCAAAAGACCTTGAAGGTTCCATATGCAACTGACATTCCAACTGCCTTGCGGGGAGGGCGGGGAGTTTGAGGTGTGGAATGCAGTGAAGTCCAATCAGCTTCCATATGCAAAAGACCTTGAAACGCTGGGCGGGACTGCACAAAGCAGCCAGTCAACCCAGCCAGCATCTTCTGACTGACAGTTCAAGCGTCCATACACTAAAGGGGCCAAATTTAGAATGTTCATATAGAATGTTCTTACTCAATTATATATAAGGAGAGATTAGAATGGGTTAATAAGATGCTGGTAGAGGGGAGATCTTTTCAGAAATTTTGACATGGTTGGCTTTTCTCCTGGTAGGAAAAAGAAAGACAACTGGAAGCTGAATTACAGGAGAAAAAAGAAAAATCGGAGAAGATGTTCAAAGAATGGCTGCAAAATACTAGAAACAAGCCCCGCCCAACATCAGCTAGCTATGCCTGTGCCAATGGGAAACTTGCCGGTTTGTTTCTGTGCTAGACTGACTGATGCAGTATATTTATTTTAAAAGGATTTTAATATTCATGGGTTCGATAAGAAATTGTGTCTGTATTAATACAGACAGACTGGAAAGGTAGATGTTGCCCCATATTAAGGGGTATATTTATGTTTGGCTATAATTTTATTTCATTGGGTAACTTTTATTTTTTAAAGTATTTATTTATGTTGATAGCAGAATTCAGTATATATTTCCATACTCTGGGCTCACCTGAGTCTCTGAGGGCTTGGCTGCAGAAGATCTAGGTAGGATTGGAATTTCCCATGGATAGGTGTGTCTGAAGATAGAACTAACTAGCAACTCCAGGTAGCTGCTTTGAAAGGTGAGAAATAGGTGGTCTCTAGTCCTTCCTAGCCATGCGTTTTACAATTTACATTTCCCCTTCAAACAGCAGTTAACTCTATGAGAGGGAAAAGGCATCTAAGAACAAAAGAAGAATCCAGCTGGATTAGACCAGTGGTCCACTGGCAGTGAATTCTAGAACTGAATTACTCACTGAGTAAAGAAATATATTCTTTTGTCTGTCCTGAATCTGTTGCCCATCAGCTTTACTGGGTGTTCCTGAGGTCTAGTATTATGTGAAAGGGAGAAATAATTTTATAAACCTATATCATATAGGTATTTTTTTCTAAGATGAAGAGCCCTTGACACATAGGAAAGGTGCTCTAATCATTTTGGTTGCCCTCTTCTGCACTTTTTCCAGTTCTGCAATGTCCTTTTTCAGACAACGACTAGAACTGTACACAGTATTTCACAGATTGGTGCATTTTAGCTCTATAGAAGGGCCTTACAGTATTGACCATTTTATTTTCAATCCCTCTCCTAGTCATTTCCAGAATGTGGATTGACTTTTTCACCACTCATGCACACTGAGTTGACATTTTCATTGAGCTATGCACTGCAACCAGTGTTCCCTCTAAACTCCACAGTGTTGTGAGCAGAAATTCTACCTCATGAGTGAAAAAAGCTAGTAGCATTAGTGAGCAAGTCTATTGTGTGAATTACTTTTTAGAAGTTTATTTCCATAACCTTGTAAAAATCTCAGAATGAATTCTTTTAAACTGTGAGGAATTTCAGACAGCCTATGTATTCTGTTTCAGGAACTGTTCACTAACGGGGTTTTTTTTTTGTCATTTCAGACAGAACCGTTTTAGTAACTGTTCCCTGACAGAATATATTTACCTGTTCACACAAAAACACTTCTGTCCCATTCGGGAAGCGTGCCTGAAGCATTGTTCACTCAAACTGCTTTCTACCAGCCTTTAATCCCTTCTATCACTTCTGAAGCGCTATGGGGTGCTGTATAAAATGCCTCGTAGCGCTTCCTGCGATGACAGTTCTTTTTGCACCCTTTTTCTCCCTGCGCACGATCGTCCTCTTTTTTTTTTAATGTTCTATTGGGAGCGCTATGGCACTGAATCAGGACTACAAAGCAGCGCCATAGCGACCCCATTGAGATCCCTGGCTCCATTTAGATACACTGATGTTCGCTACTGCATCTCAGCATGGATTTTAAAAGGTAATTTTGGGGCAGACGTATTTATCGTCTGTTTAAAGATTAAATCACTGAAAATAGCAGTAAGCACAAATGTACCAGCACAACATGAAAAAGGAGGAGGGGCTTTACTACTTTGGGCTTTGATTAAAAATCACCAGAATAGCCTGCTACCCAGCAGTTTTCAGAAATCCCAGGCTCCATTAATTTCAAAGTAACTAATGCCTCTTTGATTCCAATATTTAATAACTAATGCTAGATGAGTGCTATTGGTGGACATTTTTTTCCATTAAGAGACACAACGGCAGAAAAGAAACTGGTCTGCAAAGGGCATGCGTTTACCACTTCAAGCATTTCTAGAGAGGCAGCATACAAAGTGTCTGATTGTACAGCTTGTTTAAGTGGGAGATCAGGGGCATAAGTGAATGGTGAGAGAAACAACCCTTTCTAGACTTCAAAGGAGTGGTATGGGGATGTGAATGGTAACAAGCAAAACAAAAAATCCTATGGCACTCATAACTGTCAGTCTCCCCAGTCATGTCTAGTTAGGCCTTGAGAAAAGTAAAAGATGCTATAGTTACCCTGCTCTTCTGTTTTGGAGTGCTGTGTTGTCAGTTACCCTGCTATTAATTAATTCTTTACATTATCTCTGTAAAGTCCACAAACGTGGTTACAGTAATCCATAGACCATATTTCAAATAAAAACAAAAATGCAATTCATTAGATTCTTATTTTTTTAATTATATGAAACACTGTATTGATTGAATTTATATAATTCAATCAATACAGTGTTTCATATAATTAAAATAATAAACAGCATCCACATAAATCAATAAAAATGAATAAAAAACTAAGTAATGACTTCCACATCATCACAAAATATAAAATATGCCAGTTTTCGCAGAAATTAGGCTCAGGATCCAAGCCCAGAATTTAAGCTTCAAAAGGCTCACCAGAAAGATTGCTATTTCAGATACTTAATTATGCAGTTTATCTTTGCTCCCATCTTAATGTGCCTAATCTTCACAAGTATCAAAATTAATGTAGTCGTTGCCTCAGTGTCTTGGGGGTCCTTTTGCCTGATAAGGTAGTAGCAAAAGCACAAGAAGAAAATGCAGTCTACTCAGAATTGGCTCTGAACAGAATAATAAATAAAACAGTATAAAAGCTGAAGTGGCAAACCCCCTGTTTTTCATTATTATAGGTGTTTTTACAATTGCAGTTGAAGTATTTCACACCCAAAATGCATTGATTTTTCTACTGTAAATTTATTTCCTGCCATCTGTTGGGGGACCCTCCTCTTCATGGGGGGGTGGGGTATTTTTTTAGTCATTAAATTAAATTAGCCCCTGTGTTAATTTAAGCTAAAGCTTGAAATGTAGAAGTCATCTTTGGTTTTAGTCATGAATTAAGTTATTCATGCTTAAGCTCTGTTGGAATCATTGGACTTTCAGTACATGCAGGATTAATCTCTTTTCTGACAGAAACATTCTGGTTTAGTAAAAAAAACAACAACACCCAGGTTTGCTGATATCTGGCCTTCATTTCTTTTCTAGAAAGGTTTATAATAAATATAATTTTAGCTGTCATTTACACTGTATTTCCTTCTTAGCTTGTTTCTTTTGAAATGTACAACAGTAGTACAAATGTTAATCTATTTTTTTTTTGTTGGAGTAGATTGCTGTTCTTTCTAGCATACAAACAGCACACCAGACAGAAAACCAGTTGCTCTTTTGGCTTGGTGTGATTATAAATGGTGCTGCATGCTTTGTGTTGAGACATCGTTATTTGCTGACAGCTGCCATCACTTGTCTAAGTGATTCATTAAAAATATTCTTCCCACTTTTGTTCACACAATGGAACATATTTCAGACTTTGTTTTGACCACCCAGATGAAATGCATGTTGAATTCTTTTTCCAGACAAAGAGGATTTCCACAGCAAAGGCAGGACATGCCTGCTGTCATATTTCAGGTATAGCACATAAGGAATGCTTCCTCTTCTTTGAGGAAGTGTGATAATTAAACAGTGATGAAAATAAACTGGCTTTCAGCACTGCAATTTTGGGTAGCAAACATAATAATGCTGTAATTATACCACTGTTTTTTTAAAAAAAAATCTGGATAATTTCTTTGTAACTCTGTTTTTAATTTAGTTGTGGATTTTGCACAGTATTATAAATGATGAGGGTTTATAATTCAAATAAAACATGTTAACTCTATTAAAATAGCTGCTCTTTTGAAACTGGAAGACACCAGTTTTTCTCTAGTGAATTGATAACAAGGAAGCATTGGCTTCTCACTTCTACAGCAGTGAGGGGCAAGGAAAAGGGCCAGTCTTTTGTTGAAGAGTCACTTTCTCCATTCTAGTTCTTCATCAGTTGCTAGCTTGTAGTTGAGCATCTCAGATCTCCCCAGAAGCCAGGCAAAGAGCATTTGGTTTTAAAGACATTTTAATTTTAACTTTTCTGTATCATGCTATGGCATTTCTAAACTATATTTCATGCTACGGCATTTCTAAAGGACATTTTTTCCCTCTTCAGTGGCAATTAGTTTGTATTACATTAGGCAGCTCAAGGTTTGGTTGACTATTTGTTAGTGTCATTTGAAAGATCTACCATTATTTATTGTTACTTAATAATTAAGCAAGGATAGCTACAGCCTTTATGTACTGTGTTCTGTGGAGGAAAAATAAGTTATTTGGGGGGGGGGGGGAATCATCCTCCATTCATCTAAGCATCAAGCCTCGAAAGTTTGGCGAGCTCATTTAGCCTTAGATAGTGGTGTGATACAATTAGGCCATGCAGAAAAGAACTAGAAGCATTATATGGGTTAAGGAAATTGTCTCTGCTAAGGTGAAACTCAAGTTGGATTCACAGTGGCATATGGAACACAGTGCAGCAGATCTAAAGAAAGACTAGACTGGAGTCCAGTAACACCTTAGAGACCTGCAAGATTTTTGGGACATGAGCTTTCAGGGGTCGAAATTCCCTTCATCAGATACCACTTTGACTCTTAAAGCTCAACTTTCAGAGGTTTGGCTCTTGAAAAGCTATTACCCCCCCCCTCCCAAACCTTATTTCTCTCTCAGGGGCTACTGGACTCAAGTCTGCTGCAGACCAACCCACTGAAACAGATCTAAAGAACTATGCATGAGTAGAAATCTAAAGAATTATACATGATGCCTACTATACAACAACAAAATAATTTTAAAGAGCTACCCCAAAGGCCACAAAATGAGTTCAAGTCCCATGTAAATAAAAATATTACAAAGCTGAAATATTTTGATGGAATTCTAACTACTGTTACTCATGAGACTATAATAGAGTTAAAAACACCACATTCCATTTCTTCATGTTGTGAGGAATGAGAGTAGGCCCTGTGTGCTATGAGTTCATAATCCCCCCCCCCCAGTGCATGAATTATATTTAACTTTATCAGCTTTTGTCACAGGCAGCATGAAACAGAGCCCTCAGTTTTTCATCCTTCAGGTGAAGGTAGTTAGACATAGATACTGTATAGGCCAGGTTGTCCCTCATTTGCTAAATAATATTTTAAAAATCTGTTTCTGTATATGTGTATGTGCCTTGGGTGAGTGCCAGGAAATCTTAGTTCATTTCATATAAATCAGCTATTAAGATTATAGATCTGTGTTGGAAGAATGATTTGTAGTCTGACTTGATGCTACTATTTACATGATACTATCATGTAAAATTTCATTAAGATCATAAACCTCTTTAAAGCTTCAGTTATTTCACTTAGGCCCCTGCCACACGGGCAGGAAACTGCAGAGGAGAAGTGTGGCTGTTTGCCCCGGGGCAAACTAACATGCAGTAAAGCGATCAGACCTACTGTGGAGGTTCTGTGGAGGTACTGTGGAGGTTCCATGGCAAGGGAGAGGTGCCGATCACAACACACGCCTGCGCGCAATGAAGAAGCGCGCGGCGCGGCGAACTGGTTTTCTTTTTTTGTGTACACTACGAATGCGCATGCTCCGTTGGGTGCGTGTGCGCATCCACGGAGACGTGGGGGGGGGAAACCCTTTTCCGCAAGGGGACATGGGCGGGCGCCGGATACCACCGGAAACGCGATCAGATGCCCGCCCTTGCCCCGCAGTTTCTGGAAACTAGTACCTCCAAGGTACTAGTTTTTTGCTGCGCTTTTTCGGCAGGAAGCCTCAGTTGTGCCACGGAAGCGCTACGCTTCCCAGATGTGCTGGTGAGATCGCGACCGGAAACTCCGCTTGTCTTCCGTATCTCTTGCGTGGCTAATGTTGCGTGTGACCGCAGCCTTAGACCATCTAAGAGAGATTTTTATGAAATAAATAGCTTATAGTTAATCCATTTCAGCTAAACGATTCTCAGAACAGGTAACTTCCAATTCTTAACTGTGTCCACTTTTCGAACATTTCAGGGTATCCAGATGGAAATGCATATCCAACTCCAGCCTTTTACAACCCCATCCCTTGGAAACCAATCGTTGTGCAACCTTCTAAGGAAGAAAAGTATGTTTTAGTGAAGAAAAATAAGAGGCCTATGTCGAGTCATGCATATAAATCTTCTCCAGTGCTTTTTCATAAATCTAAGAATAAACTTTATAATGCATTATTGTGCATAAATCAGAGATAACGCAGTGTTCTGTTAGGTCTTATACTTTAATTAAGCATGGTATTGTAATTAAAAATGTATTTTAAGGCCAAAATCTGTAAGCATAATTATTTTCTTAATGTTACCTAAGTACATTTTTTTATTTTTCTCTTGTTAAATCAGACAAAATAAGTGACTTTATTGTATTTATTGTATTGTGATCCATAGCTTAATAAAATGATTCTTTCCCCAGTGTTCTGTATTTTAGATACTATATTCGTAAACATAAGTTTTAGTGCTCCCATACCTGTCGGAGATATACCTGTTGCTTCAGAAGGTTAAAACAATGCAATATAAAAGGAAGTTGTTTCTTTTCCTCAGTAAAAGTAGAGCAGTTCATTCCACAATAACACTGAGAATTGTTTAATTTTTTCCCATTTGGTCTCATTGTCATCAGTACAAATGAGTTGGCTTAAATCCAACTGTACTTGCCTAACAGATTTGTAGAGTGTGATGATAGAAGAAAATTCTGATGCCACCTCTGTTAAATTGTTTGTGAAATCCTCTTTTACTGTATTATGACGCTCTGAAGAATAAATCATAGTTAATTTAGCAATGTTACAACTTCCCTGTATTAAATTTCTGGTCATCTTGGCTTCTCTGGAGAATTTTGAATATTGTTTTTGGATATTAAATGTGCTTGTTAAAAGTGTAAGTAATTCATAATTTATGCTTTCTTTTACTTAAAACTAATGGAAGTAATTGAGATTCTGGAAACTTTTATCTGCAGTGAACAATGAACATACATTTTAGTAGCTTCTAAATAGACTGATGTTTTGTTTTATATGACATTTTTTTATTCTTTATAGAATAAAACAAATTTACAACAGGAAAACAGCATCTTTCAACATAAATTTTTGTTGTTTTGGAAATACGTGTACTTTGGGGGGCGCACATGCTTCTGTAAATATGTCAGAAGTAAATCTTTCATGTTTGCCTATTAGTTTCTTAGGAAATTTTCTTCCAAGGAAAGAGGTTTAGAGAGCATGGATATATTTGTGATTCATGCCAAAATTGAGGGAGAACAAAGAACCATATTGGTGCACAAATTGAAAGCAAGTATTAATTTCAATTTGAATTGTAATTATTTTCCCCAGGATGAACATTCAGATACATGTAGCTTTCTGTACATTACATATAAGTATGCTTGCTATTTTCATCTCAGACATGACTGTCATTATATAAGCAACATTTTTATATTCATGGTCATGTGATTAAATATGGAAGAGTCAACTATCAAGAGCACCAAGAAAGTAGGGATATAGGTCTCAAAGTACATCAAATGATACTCGAAGCAACCATATCCTAGTTGGGATTTCATAGAGAGCCATCTGCTCCATATTTGTTTGCTTTTGTGTGTGTCTATTTCACACTTGCCATTTCCCTGTATTTCCTATATATGATCAGACTCTGATAAACTAGAAAGGACTTAACTAATGTCTGAAAGCTCAGCTCAGTTGAATAATTTACAGTCTTTATAAGAAGAAGAATGCCTTGTTTTTTGACATTTGTATAAGAGGAGAGAAGCTCAGTGCAGTTATACAATTATTTTTGCTGCTTTTAGCCTGATCATATCTATGTGCTATCTTTAGTGAGGGTCTTTTTGTCACCCACTTGAAGATGGTATCCATATGAATGGATCAAAAATGTCTTCAACTCCCAACCATATTGCTAGCATGCCTAGTCTTTGAATGTTAGGCATATGGTGGAAGAGAAGTCTAGCATGTTTTGGGCTTCTTCATGCAATTGTGTTCCATGTAGTTCTAACAATGTGATTTTTAAAATGTTTAGGAGAAAAGACACACGTGTGCATTTTCTTCTGCTTCCTCAGCTTCACTTCCTTGACCACCTAATTTGTTTTGTAGTTCATGATGTATCAAATTTTCCACAACTATCTGAATGCTCCATTGAAATATGTTGATGTGTACACCAGTAGACTGTTTCAAAGCAGATAATGGGTATAGTAAACTACCATTGCAAAAGTAGCCATGCAGCCTGTTGTGTGTGTTGTACCAGTTTTCAGGAGTTCACAGAGAAGCTTCTAAGTAGATAGTGTTTGGTCACCTTTCAGAGATTATTTTAATCCATTCTGGAAATCTTATTGTATGTGTTAAGAAGAGATAATTATGCTGGTTCTCTTAGCTCACTATCTGGTCTTTGTATTTGCAGAGTTTCATTCTCAACCCAAGTTCGGCTGTTTGGGGACAATGAAGACAAGCGCAAGTGAACTTAAGGCTGTTAATTGCTAATACCTCTGCTTTCCATACCGTAACTTGCATGAAATAAACAAAAGGCATAGCAAAGCATCACTGTGAGTGGTAGCATTGATGAGGATTTAGGTATGGGATATTTTTCATAGAGGTCAATGTTACTTAAAGTATGTTGCTTATATGTAGAAATCAGGAAAAGCTTCTTGACTGCAACCTGTGACCAGCACAAAGGTAGATCTGTCTACTTCTGCAGGAGGCTCCATTAGGGAAATTTTGCTCAGTTCCACCTCTTCAAAGTAATTTCCCATTCCCTGATGCATTTGGTTCACATGGGGTTCCTGTCACTCTCAGCATCATTTTTGGAGGGCTCAGGAGAGACTAGAAAGAAGAGAGAGGATTTCCAAAACACATTTAACATGGTACCTCACCAAAGACTCCTGTGTACAGTTCTGGTATCTACTTTAAGAAGGATATTTCAGTGGAGGAAATAGTGCAGCTATTTAATAGGGCAACTAAAATGATTAAGGGATTGGAGCTCCTTTACTATGAGGAAAGATTAAAAAGTCTAAAACATTTCAGTTTAGCTGGGGGAAATTTACTAAGGAGGGCATAATACAGGTTTATAACGTGTGCTACATTTATAAAAAAAGAAGTTGGTAGGCAGTAGACTTGGGATGGAAACATGGAAATACTTATTTACTTAATTCGTTAAATTATTAAATTCACTTCCAGTGGGTGTCGTATTAATCACAAGAATGGATAGCTTAAGAGGGTTAGACATATTAATAGTAGGTACCTCAGTGGCTGTTAGGCTAAATGGAATCTCCTTATTCAGAGGTGGTAAGGTGCTTTTTATAGAATAGGGCGGTGGGCCTGGAGTTTTTGGTGCTAAATGACAATTTAGATGTAGTGCATGTTTCAGAAACATGGTGGAATGGGGAAATCAATAGGATATGAGATATAAGAAATAAAATCTTGATCCAATGATTTAGAACACCATCTGGCAATATTCCAGGAGAGGAGGAGGAGTGATAAGTCTGTCTGCCTCCTCAGTAATATCCAAGGACCTTCCAGTGTAAATAAAAACACAACCATTAGATGGAGGGTTCTGTGATATCGAGGAGGGAGGGACAGCAGTGTTTTCAGAGAGTACTTCTTTCCAGTCAGGCAGGGGGTTAGATTCAGTGACCACCAAGGGAGTATTATGCTCCATATCCAGTAGTGGGTCAGAGAGGGATCATCCCTGCATATATGCTCTATAGGTGTGACAGGGAGACACAGGTTGGGGAAGTGTTACATTGTATATCAAAGAGCCAAATAAGCTAGAAAGCATTAAGGGAATGGAGTACCCCAGCAGAATCATTATGGATGGAGACAGTAGGACCAAAGGATTGCTTAATAGTGAGGGTGTACTATTGCCCTCATAATCAAACCCTTGAGACTGACCTGGAGATGGAGAAGGAAATAACTGGTGAATAAAGCAGGTGTGTATGTGTCTGTAAAGTGCCATCATGTCACAGCCAACTCATGGCAACCTTGTAGGGATTTCAAGGCAAGATACTAACAGGTGGGTTGCCAGTGCCATCCAGGCTACCCTGGACCATCCAGGTTAGGGCGACTAAAGCAGGTAATGTGATATTTGGTGACTTCAACTACCCTCACATTGAATGGGTAAACATGCTTGAATAATGCTGTAGAAATGAGGTTCCTAGACAAATGACTGTGCACTGGAACAGCTGATCACAGAGCCAGCTAGAGTGATTTTGGATTTACTTTTGAGTGTAGCTTGAGACTTGGTGCAAGAAGTTGATGTTGCACCAGTTGGGAATATGACCATAGTGCTATTAATTTCAGCATTCATGTCAATGGAATGTTACCCATAATTCCAAAGCAGCAACATTTGATTTCAAAAGAGAGAACATTATGCAAAACGAGGGGACCAGTTAGAAGGAAGCTGAAAAGGCAACTCAAAGAGAGCACAATCCCTAGAGGAGGTTTGAAAGCTATTTAAAATTACAGGAGTTGAATGCCAGCTAAAATGTATTCCCCAGTGTAGGAAAGGTACTAACAAATCTAAAAGGATGCCTATGTAGTTAACAACTCAAGGAAGCCGTAGAAGACAACATGGCTTCTTTTTAAAATACAAGGTGCCCCAATGAAGTGAACATAAGGAAGCACAGGGACTGGCAAAAGAAGTGTACGTTAACAATTAGTCACAAACAATTTGAGGAGTGGATTGTTAAAAGCATCAAGACAAATAATGATTGGAAAAAGGGGAGATGGCAGAGAAGCCAAATGAATTCTTAGCATGTGTGTTCACTGTGAAAAATGTGGGGCATGTACCCAGGTCACATCAACTATATTTAGGAAAGGAGTCTAAAGAACTGAGTCAAACTGAGGGGATGAGAGGAAGTTCTATTTTTATTTATTTATAGTCAAATTTATACCCCGTCCTCCCTGCAAAGCAGGCTCTAGAAATGAAAAGTCAGTCAGTCTTTGAGTACCGATGGCATACACACGAGTGCTTAGTGAACACAAATGTTAAATTTGGTGATCTATTAACCGCAGCCACTTTCTCCAGTGGTCTAGGGTGAGGCAGTCACAACTAGTCGGAAAAAGCTCCTCCTCGGAGGCAGGCAGGGTTGATAATGTTTGTTCATTCCCCTTGGGAGGGGCTTATTCCTGAGTTTCAGCCCTATGTGGCTTGCAGACGGGTTAGAGTGTGATGATTTCTTTCTCCACAATATTTTTGTTTTTCTTTCAAACCTCTCTCTGCCTTCCTTGAGGGGCTTAATCTTCTGTTGCTGTAGAAGCAGAATTGGGTTGTCCTCCTTAAGGCATCCCCCCCCCCTTTCACTCCAAGGTTCTCTCCCCAGGAGAGGAGGAACACCACAAAGGCTCCACATTTCAGCCAGGAGCTTTTATTGTTGTTCTCTCTGAGTTGGCAGAGGAGTTGGCAGAGGAGCATCAGTGGCTGCAGCGGAGGCACCATACCTTCAGACCAAGCAGAGGAATGCTCATTCCACTGGGACTGTGGTCAGAGCAAGGTTCTGGAGCCTCACTATGCTCTCTGCATCTCCCTGTGCTCCTGGAGCCTACGGCAGAGTCTCCCTGTTGACACAGTCCAAATCGGTAAGCAGGCCAGCAAGTGAAGTCCCATTTTTCCCCTTCCCCTCCTGAAGGCCAAGGTGGGGGAAAATTGGGAAAGGAAGTGCTTCTTTCCGATTTAGCCTGTGTTCCAGAGAATTGGATTGCCGATCCTCTAGCCCGAAGAAGATGGAGGACTTGCCAATACTTAATCTCTTGGGCAAGAATGTGTAGTCTAATTTGCACACCTGGACTAAGGGAGAAATAGAAAAGGAGATTGACTCCTTTATTAGTGCTGTTTTTACAAGTGTTTGATACTGGAGGACCAAGTACAAGTGCAAATCCAGAAGCAGAAATCTGTCCTGTTCCATTTCCCCAGCCTGCCAGGGGAGATCGAGAGGAGAGGCATGTTCCGAGACATGTCAGGTCCCTTCTTCAGTTAAGAGTACTGACTCCTGTTGGCCTCTACGGCTTGTTGTAGAGAGCATAGCCAACGGCTGCACCCAGATTCAAGTCTCAAAATAGACGCCTCCTCACCCAGGGAAGAGGGAGAGCTCTCTCCAAGGAATAAGAGCCACTGGTTATGGCTATAAAAACTTTACTCTTTCCTCAGGAAGTCTTTCTACAATTGCTTCCCAAGGTTCTCTGCATCCTGGCGATACCATATAGCAAATATATATATATATATATCCCCAGAGGTGCTAGACCTATGGTCATAGATCCAGAGGACTTAGCCATGTTAGTCTGTTAGACCTGTAGGTTGAGCGAGAGCCTTCCCATATGTAGAGATTCCTTCCTGGGGCCCTTCCTTGCCATCAGTCTTTGACAAGATTGTCAAGACAGAATGGTCATCCCCTGTGAGGCCTAAGGCCAACCATCATATCATCTCCTGTCTCATTTAATGATTCTGAAGGCAGAGGAGTGCTTTAAGCTACTGGTAGTCAAAGCTCCAGTTATAGACCTGACCTCCAGCACCATCACCTTGGCAGTGTCAGATAGCTTACAGATAGATCTCTGCAATAGGAGGGTTGACCTGGCCTTGAGTAAGAACTTCAAAGGCTTCCTCTGTAGCCCTCCAGGCTTTCTCAACAGGCTCCTTGTTTGACAGAGCCATCTGTCTCTGGGCCTCCAGCCCCTCTTCCACTGACAAAGACATCCTGAAGGAAATGAAGAATCATTTAAAGAAAATTGCCCTGACAGCAGCCTTCACAGCAGATGCTTCTTTGGATGGCTTCTAATGCCATGCCATGCTATAATGCCTGGCTGCATAGATTCGGGGAGTTGATTCGATCTCTCGGGCTCAGATTGCCAATATTCCGTTTAAAGGGATCAGACTTTTGGGGGGTGTCATGGACAAATGACTAGTGGAGGACAAAGATAAGAGAAAGGCACTGCTGAGTTGCGGGAGGGAAGGAAAGGAAAAAAGGTTGCAGTGCTTTTGGGACTCCAGGACCAACTTTGGTTTCGTATCATTCAGGGCTTAGGGTAAGTGGCAGTAAACTAAGCCCTCAGCTAGTACCAGCAAGCCCTCCTTCCAGTCCAGAAGATGAAAGAAAGCCTCCGCTTGATGCCAAAGCCTTCCAGGACATCGGGGGCCACCTGTAGCATGCCATGCATGTATGGCAACATTCCATTTATAACCAGTGGGTATTGGACACAGTTTTCAGAGGTTTTTCCCTGGAGCTCAAATTCTTACTTCCAAATAAATTCATTGATGTTCCCGGGTATTCCTGCTCAGCCAGACATTTCATTCTCCAGGCAATAGACCAGTGTGTCCCAACCTGTGGGGTGGGACCCAAACATGGGTTGCAAAGTCTCTGAAAGTGGGTTACAGGCCAACCCTATCTAATGGCTACCCCCAACCCCCCCAGCAGTTTTCTCTGCCCATGCACAGAGAATGGACTTAATCATAAACTGTATTTTATACATGTGCTTGAGACGTTTGGTCATGTAAG